GGTCTTCAGTGTGTCTAAATGGAAAATACACTATTTATTTTTGAAGCAACAAAAAAGAGCAAATTTGCAATAAAACCAAAAAAAAATCATTTCAGGGCCACCAAACTGAAAGGTCTGAGTACTTTTGCGTTCATTACATTTTCTATTTTTGGAGGGAAATGGAAAATTAAAAAAAGCTATTTTGCACTTTCAGGAACATGGTTTTTTTTCATTGCTTATAAGACCTGTAAATTATAATAACCGGTTATTATAATTTGGGAACTGCAATAATGAACCTTTTTTATTACGTATTTAATACATTTCGGCGTCAATCGATTACCCGGGAGTGAAACAAGTTTGTTTACTGAAGAAAGCCCTATTCACACAAGATTAGTTTTACCTGTGGACCCCTGGTAATTTGTGATAATCGCGGAGGACGTCTGAGATCTTAGTCCCGTGCGAATGCGAAGTAATAATTCCGCCGCATATGACCTCCTTGTCCAAACACAGACTGTGATTAATCTAGTAATATTAATCTAGTGAATCTACATGTCAGCGATTGTGATCGCTATTGCTGCTTTCTCTATACAATACAATACAATACAATTTATTCTTGTATAGCCCTAGGTCACAACAGAAGAAATCTCAGAGGACTTAACAAAACCATTGAAATCACCTACACAGGTCAGAGAATCAACAGTTAAAACACATGAAAAATATAAAGCACACACAGAAGAAAATGTCCATACATGTCCCTCCTGTATCAAGAAGGAAAAACTCTTAAAAAATCCAGTGGGAAAAAGTGAGAAACCTTGGGGAGAACTAGGGAAACCGACAGGGAGACACATTTGAGAAAGGGATCCGCTCCTCCGGACGGACAGGCTAATGATCTAGGACCTAAGCTAGCTACAGAACGTGGACCAGTGGCCGCTGAATGTGGACAGGTCCGGTGCAGGACTTGAAGCACTCCCAGGCGGGTCGGGCGGGGCAGTCCGCAGGTGTTGATGGAGGAGGCCAGGCTCAGAGATCCCGTCATCGTACCATGAAACAGACAATGGGACAACGGGTGAATAGCAATGAACAAACTACAGTCAAAATCCTAATAATGCTAAACACATAAAGTAGTGCTCAAGTTACCATACTTCTCCCAGCAAACTGTCTCCCTATGCAGCTTGGCTGACAGTCTGAGGAGTTTAGCCTTCCCTGAGTCTTACCTTCCTAGCCATATGCTAAACTAAAGAGGACTGTTTTAAACCTAGCCTTGAATAAAGAGAGCGTATCTGAAAGGAGGTGAGACAGCAGCAGCCACTGCTAGACTAGCCCAGGCTACGGCACCAAGATTCATGGATTGCACACCAGGTGTGCAAACCGATCCAGGCAAACCTAATTATATATTATATATCATATATACCATACATATTATATATAATACATAACATAACATACAGCATAATATATAACATAATATACAACATAACACAATACCCAACATAATACATATATCGTATAATATATAACATAATACAGCATATATAAATATAATATATACACCATACATTATATATTACCTAATGATATGCTAAATTAAAATAGAGTGTTTTAAGCCTGGCCTTGAATTTGGAGACCGTATCTGCTTCCTTAACATAAATGAGAAGCTGATTCCACAGTAAAGGAGCTTGGTAGCTAAATGCTCTGCCGCCAACAGTGATTTTTGAGACCTTAGGGACCACCAGACGTCTGGCGTTTTGTGAGCGCAACGCTCGACTTGGTTGATATGACACTAACGTGTCTTGGAGATAGCAAGGAGCCAAGCCATTTATGGCTTTATATGTTAAGAGAAGGATTTTAAACTTTATTCTGCAAACTTTCTGCATTGTTTTTGTCAGTGAGCAGAAGAGTTGCATATACTGTAGCGGCTGTGTACACGGCTGCAGAGTCACGGCTGCTGTTGTCTCAGTGATGTCTAATGTAGAGGACAGTTATGTGTTCACTGACACTAAATGATCAGACTGATGGGTTGCTTTCGTACGTTTACTTTGCACTCTGTGGTAATACAGTACAGACATGTTGATCCAGCCGTAACTATTAGTAGTTGATGCAGTAACAGCTGCATCAACACGTCTGTACAGTATTAGGACAGAGTGCAAAGTAAACATACAAACGCAACCCATCGGTCTGATCATTTTGTGTCAGTGAACACATTACCCTGTCCTCTCCACACTTCTCCATAGACCTCACAGGGAAAGCAGCACCCGCGACTCTGCCGGTTTAAACAGTTGCAATATGCGACTCCTCTGCTCATTGAGAAAATACGACGCAGAAAGTAAAGAGAAAGCGGCAATAGGGGGATCTTGGAGTGACGTCGTTGTTTATAGTTTTCCGCGTCGGTCACGTGACCGGGTGGCAATACAGCATAGACAGCTACCTGGATGCTAGAGAGTTAGCTATTTTTGGACATTTGGAGAGAGGTTTTAGTAAATTAAATGGTCCATTCTTGTTGTGTGGTCGGTTATACGGCCTGCTTGGGACAGATTAAGTATTTTTCTCATCATCCCAGGTCTCATATGGGCTTTGAATTTGTTCAGTTCAGTCTCATATACTTATTTTTAACTTGTCTTTAGATCTCCTCTGATCTTCTTACGGTAAAGTGCTTATATACAGTGCTATTCGCTCACTGAGTCTTTTAAAAGTACTCCATGCTTCTGTATGTGCCGCTCTGTTTTCTTGTCACCCAGCGAGGGGCGCACGCGCACACGGGTGTAAACAAAGATCCTCCTATAGCGATCACAATCACTGACATGCAGATTCGCACGGGATTAGTATTATCACAGGACGTCTGTGTTTGGACAAGTACAGGAGGTAATTTGTATGGGGTAAGGTTACTGTCAATAAAGACGTGCATGTTTAAAAAAAATGCGTGCACATTTATCGGTATTTGTGCATACAAATAATTTATTCATTCATGATTAAGATAATACAAACTCAAAAGACATGGAATTTCGTAGTTAAGAATAAAAAAATATAAAACTATATGCGTGATTTCTTACTTGTGAATACGATTTTTTTTGTGTGCTTGCATTTTCTTCTTTGAGAATACGAATTTCAGCAGTGAGCAAACTGTCAATATTACGTCACTGCTCACAGACATTAACAATCGAGCCTGCGCTAAATTGATCAACTTCATTGCCGCAAATCTAAAACATGGCAGAGGGCAGCAACTCTATCAACGTGGCTCAGAATCAGGTATATAACTATTTTATCATTTTGGTCGCAAATGAATGTGTTGGAAAAGTTATTTCGATAAAATGTGTTCATAAGATGTTTCTGCCCCCCTCTAGAAACGTTTTTTTGGCAGTGTTGTTAGCTCCAATGCTAGTTTTATTCATTTATTCTGGTATTGTTTTATTCAACAGAATATTATGCATTTTACTTCGTTACACATTACATCTGCTTTATTTGTATTGATATGATAAACCATTTAATTAGGCCTGACTTTTTGGATTTTCTGTGTGCTAGGTCCCGCTAGCCGATATTATTAATACGGCCCAAAACTTGCTTAGCATGCTAAATAACAGCATAACTAGCGTTAGACCTATAGAAAATAGGGAATCCGGCGCCTCATCATCTCAGGGACAGAAAGAGGACAGCCAAGGGACAACCAGGCCTTTGCGGGCGCATTCGGTACATCAGGAAATGGCAAGGTATGAATATTGTGTAGACGTCCTGCAGCAATAATATTTGAATAAAATTAAACTGTAATAGCAATGTTATTTGTTTTGTTTTTTTTATCTGGCGGGCAGTACATCCAGTTGACACAAATATTTGACGATAATTTTAATAATCAATTCATCTTTGAGTAATTCTTTCATCTCTAATCTTTTACTTGTTATTTTATCTATGGTTTTTTTCCCTTTCAGATCTTTTCCAGGGTTCTTTCGAAAGGAAGCAAGGGGGAAAAAGTAGTGATGGCAATATGAAGCCCCATGAAGCCTTGAGGGATAGCAGCCTATTACTCGGCCCATGAGTCGAAGGCTCAAGGTGAATCATGCTCCACTACGCCATCATGTGGACAAAGAAATACATAACACTCTTAAGTGCTTACAATGAATGGTGAGATCTAATGTTAAAATGTATATTTACAATCTATGGTCTAACGTGTTGTGTTTGAAATGATGCTTCATGAACTATGAACTATTTGAGTCTTTCAGTCAATTGTGTTGATACAACAAACACATCCAAAGTAATACAGTTCTACAGAAAGTGATTAATGGAGGAAAAACTACCAAGAGGTGGATTAATTAAACTCAACAAACCATTTATTCCCAATAAATAAATACATTTACTTTGCAACACAAAATTTATTATGGGTAGACCAGGATTCGAACGTTATATCTTCTGCTTCGGAGTCCGTCATAGACCGACTGCGCCACACAGCTGTTGTGAAATGTATTATCCAGCGTATTATTACTAATAACTTGAAGCCTTGATATATGAGGTTTTACTAAAGTGAAACGTTTTTAATTGTATTTCATATGAAGTAGTTTCTCTATACTTAGTACAGGACTGCTCCACATCACGCACACACACGTACGCGCACACACACACACACGTACGCACACAGAGGCAGACGGGGACAGCCAATACAGTCTATGGTACAGCCGCGGATCACAAAGCACCTGTCAAAGCAATGCACTCTCCGAACTATATAAAGCACTATATGAACCGTCACGTGGTGCGGCCGCTACGCGAGGCTTCGAACGTCACCACACACGTGACCAATACACGCCTCGACCCACACTTCACAAGAAACGCCCCCAGATTACTCGGTCCACGCTTCGAAGACTCGGTCCGCTCAGCACATCACTAGGAAAAAGCGATTCACTCAGCATCACAGAAAACCAAAGTCCTTCTCAGTTAATTTTGTCTTTTTGGACAGAAAACAGTCAAAAACACCAAAAGGAGAGTATGAGCTAAGACTTCTTTTAGCAGGACTTGGAAAACGGTCTTTGCTTGTTGACGAAATGATGACTCACTCACAGGTATGAAGTGATGGACAAATACTGTACATAGAAAGTATATAACAAAGTTCATTTTGGAACCACAAGTTACTACTTTGCAATAATTTAAGGACAGGAGATGCTAGTAACATCGATTCATTGTCTAATCATTTTCATTCATCTGTTGTCTTTATTTGGAAAGCTCTGCAGGTCTACTTTGTTGGGCTATACACATAAAATTGATTGATTATTTGCTTACACAGAGGTAAATAAGTAAAACTCACTGCTAAACATGTTCTACATTCAAATACTCACATATAGCCTTTATTTGAAGTATCAAATCCATTTCCCAGGATTGGAAACACTGATATACATAGTACAAATGCTTGTAAACATAGTACAATAGGTTTGAAACAGAAAACTTTTATTGCCATTGTTGCCACACAATTTTCAAACTCTTAACTTGCTTTGACAATAAGGTGCAACATGAAACGCATCAATAAACAATATTAATAGAAATTGGCTGACTGTGGTTAACTCTCATTATTCCAGTAATGTGTTGTTTTTTTCTAGTTGAGTGAGATGCTTTGGAAGGCCTACCCAAAGCTTGAGCTTGTCAAAGGAGGCTGGTTGCTACATAAGTCTACAAGAAAGAAATGCATTTGTCAAACTTTTATGATCATTTTATGTACTGTAGGTAATATTTATTTATTTTACATTATTATTAACAGGGGGAGGTGGACAACGCGAGCTCATAATAATTCCTCCCGAAGCAGAAGGGTACCATGGTCTGCAGTTAAAAGCGGTTACTGGAAGTGGAAAGTGCACTGTGTACATTGTCCCTCTTCAGGACACTGTGGACATGGCACCATTACCCCCTGATGCACCTGAGTTTAAACTCATGCCGAAGGCTCCATGTGCCACCTGCAACATGTTGGTCCCACTTCAGTCACTTCCGCTACATGTCAAGACATGTAAAAAGGAGCTTGTGGACTTGTCAACATCAGATGTGTGTTAATTATTAATTTTAAAAAGTAATATTCATTAATTGGATAAATACAACTATTTCATATACGTTTTACAGGAGCTACTTAGTGAATGTCCAATGCCAGCAATGTCCCCAGAAAAGAAGAAAGACAAGGTGAACTGTTCAGATATTTATTATTTTTTTTCTGTATAGTGAAATGATATATACTTTTTTTCCCAGACTGAATGTCCTGTGTGTAAAACAATGTTCTGCACAGACCTAATAGAAGTCCATGCAGCAGAGTGTGGATTGAGGTTCTTGAGGATTGAGGAATGAGGAATGTACTGCTGATTGCCGTGTAATGCTCTTTTGATATTGTTACTGCAGATCGGAAGTCCAGAATAACACAGAAGACATTGGTTTTGTCTCAAGCAAGGATGTTTCTGACTTTGAAGTTCATTCTATCGATTCATTCCAAAGGTTGTTTGTTTTTTAACTTTAACTACTTTGATTTTTGTAATTTCTTCATTCCTTATAAAAAAAATTTCAGTTTGGACCAAATACTGAGCTGGATAAGTTCTCAAGTACAGGATGGCACGTTTGAAATTTGTGTATCAAGAAGTGATATTTTCAATAGAGGAATGCATCAGTGGCAGCGCCAGAAGATGTCCTCTCCAAAATTCAAACTGATGGTGTCTTTCATAGAGGAAAACGGCTTTGACACGGGTGCCCTAGGAAAGGAATTCTTAACGGGTATTTTCTTCATTCTTTTGTTGAACTCCTTGTTTGATATTTTTGGTCACTCCCCATATTCTGCCTTTAACAGAGATGATTGCAGAAATAGAGAAAAGGCTCTTTGTTGGTGGTGTGGACAAAAAAGGGAAAAATCCAGTCTACTGTCTGGGGAGCCTGGACAAAAACTATTTCCGGTACATTTCACACGTGTTGAACTTTGATTTACATGACGTGCAGCTGGGTGATACATTTCACCTAATCATTATGAACACGTATATTACACATATTTTAAGATTTGAAACAACTCGTTTGTATTGAGTATTTACTGCTAATTGTTTCTGATTGATTAATAGAGCTGCTGGTGAGATTATGGCAGCGAGTATTGCCCAAGGCGGACCACTCCCCTCCTTCATGAGAAAGTGGTGTTATGCATATATTTGTTCAGGCGATGCAGATGACATACAAGTGACATCAGATGATGTAACTGATGTAGAACTTTCTCAACTCATTACAAAGGTTGTTGTCGTGTTAGTTTGTTTTTCACATTTAAAAAAGGTTTATAACAATATTACTGCTTTTAGATACAAGAAGCAAGTAATGAAACAATTGGCGAACTGATTGATGGATTGATGAACTGTGGATACACTGGGATAATTTCGGACAACAAAAAAGATGTTATGACCAGGTAAGGGTTTTTGGTTACGAGCTGAGGTGGGTAGTACCCAAAAGTTGTATTTTACTTCAAAACAATAATGTATAGACAGAAGGTAGTCAATTACTAAAGAGGAAGATTAAAAACGAAGTAAGTCAAATTTCTCGATCTTGAAATGCGCTCACATTAGCGCTCTTAAGTAATTTTTATTAGATGTTTTTTGTGAAATTACTCTTTAGTGAGAAGGGTAACAACAACTGTAAGAGCAGTGTGACATCAAACTAAATGTTACTCAACTAGTGAGTAAAACTCACATATAAGATTAAAGTTATGCAAGTGCGTGTAAATGAGCTAAGAGCGCTACCCGCTTCTGGTTATGAGTAAACAATGTTAAATTGTTAAATCTGAATTCTTGCTTTCAGATCTGTTGTACTGCACTCCACTATGAGGCTGATCCCCATGTTAGATCAGCTTAGAAAAGGCCTGCAGCTGTATGGCCTACTGAGAGTTCTGCATATAATGCTGACATTGTTGCCTCTTTTTGTTTCTGGAGAAGACGATGGGGTATCTCTTTGTTTCAAAAAATGTCTTTATATATTGTTGGTGTTGTACTGAACGGAAGTTTTGGCTTTTTTCCAGGTGGATGCCGCCTTTATCATTCAGAAGTGTCACCCTGAGTACAGCGAAAAGGGCTCAGTTAGATACACCAGAGAAGTAAACATCATGAATTTCTTTCAGGATTTTCTACAGGACATAGAGGATCAAGATGATCTTGGTAAGCTTTTTGGTTTAGGCAAAATCACACAAAATGATATAAGAAGCGCTGGTAATAATTAAAAAAAAAATACACATTGTGGACAATTCAGTTTTGTAACTCAACAATTAAATACAAGGTAGAGTATACGTTGATTAATATACTGTGTATTGTGAACCATACTAAAACAGTAATTTTGTGTCAAGTTTGGTAAAATAAAAGTAAATGCTATCAATAATACATCCATTTTCTTCCTTTCCCGGGTGGCGGGGGCAGAAATCCAAGCAGAGACGCCCAGACTTCCCTCTCTCATACACTTTCTCTAGCTCGCCCGGGGGGACCCCAAGGCGTTCCCAGGCCAGCTGAGCGATAATCCCTTCAGCGTACCAAAATAGTATTTTCGTTCTTGATTAAACAAGGTGTCATACATGCAAAGGGGTGTTGAAAAGCACCTGCCCCTTGTTGTCCCAAGCTCTTTTCCTTTGACTATTGTAGATACTCTTAATCTCCATTTTTGCATTCCACATTTAGTTCATACCCTTTCTGCTCTGACTTTTTTTTTTTCTTACTTGGGAGTTTAACATATTTATATGGGACATTGCAGCCAGGTCTTTAAAATGTAATGTCTGGGTTTTCATGGGTAAGTATAAGCATTGGTACGTATCTTACCATTTACATTGTCTTTGTGTACTGTAGAGGCTGAAGTTGAAGATGGCCATAAAAAGTTGACAGTTGGAAGAGTCATGCAGTGGATCACCGGCCAGGGACACAAACCTTGTCTGCCAAGTGAGAAGGCAGATTTCAAATATCTGTCAGATTCCACCATGATTGCGACTCCTTCCATACTATTTGCTTTCCAACTGTTAGTGCATGTAGTCGTACCATTACATTTCCTGTGGTGCACTTGACAACATTGAATGAATTCAAATATGTCATGAATACAGCTTTGATGTATGGACAATCTTTTTACATAATATGAATATAGTCACCATACCACTCCCATATTGCCACAGGGTTACTAAAAAGTAAGTTATTGTTTTGTTACCTGTGGGCCATATGCATACTTTTTTGCCTTTGCAACAAATTGAATTGTTTTATGGATAAGAAAAATATTGTTCAAGGTTAGTTGTTGAATTAAAAAAAAAAAACCTTTTCATTCACAGGTTGTTTTATTCATTCATTGAAAAGTTCTGAATGTACTGAACCATCGATACATATATATCTGTACCGTAACAATCAGAGTGGGCAAGTGGATTGAATATGGATGTTACAGCATCCATAATAACAGAAGGTAGTAGATGGTAATTTTCTGGGACCTGGACTCCAACAGGTTCAATCTGTGACACCGTCAAATGTTTTCCAGTCAGTTCCAAACATTTCAATGTCCTTGTGGGTAAAAAAATACATCTTAGTAAAATGTCAATAATATAGCGACAGGATTATGCAAGGTTTGAAATGAGTAACCATGGTAGAACCATGTCACACTTTATGTTGGCCATTTTATAAGTTTAAATCAACAAAATATATAAAAGTATCAATATGATGCACAGGGGAATAGACACCAGAAATGTAAATAAACAAACCTGCAAATCCTCTTCATTTTGGTCAGTGGACTGCATGTGACCCATAACCCACAATTGGTTGGGGCTCAATCCTCCTTCAGACTTCAAAGGATGATTGTCCCACGCTTCTGTGAAGGTATGAAGTGAGTTGGCCAGTCTAAGCAGAAACACGTAAAGGGCACAAAACAAATGCAGGGAATCCGACAGATCAAGAAAGCCATCCTCCTCAAGAGTGTGTAGTACATCGTAGTACAGTTGCGTTACACTGGTCCAAACATCTCGCCAAAGACGTTCAATTCTAAAAAAACAATACAGCAACAACCACAATGAGCAAGATCAAAGAACGGTAATCATCATTACAAAAAACTAATTTAATTACTAGTAATTGTTGCACCTACAGTTCACTTGTTTAAAGTAACTAAAACTCCCCCCAAATCAGAAGCAGCACTAAATTTCATCACTTGGATGTAGAAAAAGGTGTGGCTGTCATCAAAACAAAACACAAAAGAATGGACGACTGAGGAAAATAATTTTTCACAGCACTTTAGCTATTTTTATCATATTCTGCCAAAAGTAACTCAAAGTAACAAAGTGTTACTCTGTTACATTTAGCAGCAGCAGTAATTTGTTATTCAATTACATACATTTTTTAAAACTGTAACTAGTAATAGTAGTAACAATAGTATACATGTTGTAATCAGTGTTGGCGAGTCACTTTAACATTGTATTTTAGGCACTATGTGGTGGTGAAAAATACATCACAGTCAGCCTAGATGGTGTGAACAAAAGTTTAGCGGATCCTGTTTATTCTTGTTCAGTTATGTGATCAAAATGTGAATTAACTAATTTAGCCTGTAGAGGAGCCAAGCAGCTCCTTCAGGGACAGACGCCTCCAGTGCAAGAAGGAGCAGCTCCTATTTGGGTGACTTGGCTCATCTGAGGTATTGCTTTCTGTAGTTGCTACCTCAGTGGTTGTACTTGTGTTGAGATATTGTCCGGCCTGGCTCCCACAACACAATTATAGCAAATTACTTTCATAATGGTTTATAAACATACCGTTGATTGTGAACGCTTTTTCCGGCTATGAAGCTCCCTCTTCCAGTCCCTTTCACACGGAACATTGTTTCAGCTACGGCCACATTTTCCACACCTTCATCACCTCGAACCCTACAGAAATAGCAATAATAATTTAAATACAATCAAATACATTATTAAAAGTCGGGCAGATTATTATTTATACAAATTATCCATAAAAATTATGTATAGGGTATGGCAAAATTATACCTGGAGGGCCAATCAAATTTTTCCACTGCCTGCTGAAAAAACAACAGAGCAGTGCTTGATCGGTTGTTTGTGGCTGGCTCTAAATACATGATCTGTAAACAAACAATCATTGCATACATTTCACACACAATTTACAGTATACAAAATGTAAAATCACAAACCTTTCTGGAGAACCCGTCGATTGCTCCAAATATGACAATGTTGTATCTGAAAGATTGGAGAAATAAAAAAAGTTTACCTTTTATATTTAAGATCACAATTTATTTATCATGCCATGTTAATTGTAATTTTTAATAGAGAAATAAGATAGAGATAGACAGCGACAGAGATTTTTTAGGAATATAAGCTTTGCTTTTGTAAGAGTTACCTGATAAGCTTGTGATTAGTGTCAATGTGTACAAGGGACAATGGCCGTTGAACATGGTATGTCCTTCTGACAATGCATCCAAGTCGCATCATTCGATCCAATATACCAGGAGCGTCAACTCTGTGCATGGACTGTTTAATACGTTCCCATTGAACTCTGTGTCCTTCTGCCTGAAGACATCCCTTTACCATTCTATATCCTGCATTGGGTAATCTTCTTTTAATTGACAGGACTGCATTGTCAAGTTCTGTGTCTGTCAAGTTGCTGTAGGTAGCTCTTGTTGATAAGTTAAGTTCACGCATGCGTCTGAAAACGGTTGATTCACTGACTCCAAGCAATTGAGCTATGCAAAAAACGGGGAGGGGCATCTGAATCAGGTGTACAAGAAGATCTTCAGAAACCATCAACTTGGGTTTTCCTCGTCCACTACTTTCTTCTGTGATCAGAGCATGAGGTGTTTCTTGATAACACGCTGCATTAACTTTTGTTGAGAGGGTTATTAAATTATCTACAATATCTCTTGCAATGGGAATAACTCTAGCTGCAGATGAAAATATAAAAACCTCCTGATTTAAAACATACTGCAAATAGTCCAAATTCAAATGCGGCTGATCTAAAATGTCAGAAATCCTTGTTAACAAACGTCTCATTAAAAGCACGGACGGCTCTTGCTGTAAACAAAAACAAAAAACTGTGGTTACTATATGTCCATTTAATCTCAACACATGTTTAGCAGTAGTAGTATAATTCATAATACTTAATGGCAAGTTTTGTACATTTTGTACACAATGCAAGTCTCTTAAAATGAAAAATCGATAAATATCAGTAAACATATCAATGTAATATATCAATGGCTGTGATATAAATATAACAGCCATTAAAAAGTTAAGAGTGCATACATACTACAGACCCATGTTCATTTGTTTTAGTGACAACAATAATATATTTTCGGAAGTAAGACATGTAGTTAACCCTTGTCACACCGTGTCCCACCCATGATGATTGACTACGGAGAGTAGCTGTTGTTTTTAATTAGAAATATGGGTTTGATTAGTATAATCAGCGTTACGGAGCCTGTTCTGAGGCCCACAGAGCGCAACAGGGTCTGCTACGTCTAGCAACCAAGGATGAGTGTAGCACGGAGGTGAACTTCATAATGCTCAGGGGCAGTAACAGCAAGAAATATGAGTAATCTGGAGGTTTGGGGCTGGTATCAACACTTTAACCACACTGATTAGGGGCCAAGGCTTCATCAAATGTAAATGCTAAGAATGTAAACATGTTGTTTTTAACAGATCATGGTAATCTGTAAAACTAGCATTTAAGCTAGTGTTAACTAAACACTGCCGAAAAAAAACGTTTCTAGAGAAGGACACATTTTATCGAAATAACTTTTCCAACACATTCATTTGCGACCAAAATGATAAAATAGTTATATACCTGATTCTGAGCCACGTTGATAGAGTTGCTGCCCTCTGCCATGTTTTAGATTTGCGGCAATGAAGTTGATCAACTTAGCGCAGGCTCGATTGTTAATGTCTGTGAGCAGTGACGTAATATTGACAGTTTGCTCACTGCTGAAATTCGTATTCTCAAAGAAGAAAATGCAAGCACACAAAAAAAATCGTATTCACAAGTAAGAAATCACGCATATAGTTTTATATTTTTTTATTCTTAACTACGAATTTCCATGTCTTTTGAGTTTGTATTATCTTAATCATGAATGAATAAATTATTTGTATGCACAAATACCGATAAATGTGCACGCATTTTTTTTAAACATGCACGTCTTTATTGACAGTAACCTTACCCCATAGTAACCTTACCCCATAAATTTGCAGCGGAATTTTTACTAAACAAATTACAGACATGGAGCATTCGTACGGGACTAAGATCTAAGACCTCCTCCGTGACTATCACAAATTACCCGGGGTCCAGGTAATACTAATCCCGTGAGTAGACAAACGCTGAAATGTATTAAATACATAATAAAAAAGGTTCACTATTGCATTTTATAGTTCCCAAATCTGGTTATTATAATAAACATGTCTTTTAAGCAACGAAGAACCAAAAAAAATTGTCATTTTGGTATATTGCCGTTTGCCTGAAAGTGCAAAATAGCCCTTGATTTTCCATTTCCCTTCAAAAATAGAAAGTGCGTTGAACGCAAAAGTACACGGACCGTCTCTGTATGTTTTTTGCTAACTTGTGTTGTAACACCAACCTGCCAGGGGGTCTGCAGATGGAAATAATCTGCCATACTTACATTTGTGAAAATGTTCATTAATATGTATTGTTCCTCCTTTCTCAAATAAATAAATAAATAAAACCAACATTTATAAAAACAAATAACGAGGGAAGTTTTTGATTCTCAATCTTTGAATTTAATGCATGATTGAAATATTAGTTTGTTTTTTTTGTTTTCTGTGGATCCAATTAAGATGCAGTAAACTAATAATTACCGTCTAAATTACTTTTTGTGATTTTCATTTGAAACACAAGAGCCCCCTGGAAGAGCCCCCTGGCAGTGACACCGCAGGTAAACAATGGAGTGGCGGTGGAGATGAAATAAATGATGGGTACGTTGGAAGACTTTGCAGATGCAGAAATAGAATTCTTCAAAAACATTCAAACGTATGCAGAAATATCAACCATATCGACTAGGTTTGTCCAAATGTTCGGAAATGAGTGAGAAGATTTTGTCTTAAGTCATCAGCTGAGACGCTGTCACAGAGACATGATGTCTCTTCCTTTCTTCTTTTTGATACAGTGGTTAATCACGAAAGCAAACTTTTTAAAGATTTCATGTTATTTCATCTTATAGGGGTCACAGAAAGGTATTCATAATTAATGAACATGAATGATCATGTTTCTGCCTAGTATGCTGCCATGGTTCAGTGCAAAACGGGCTTTTTTCTCCATATCAGCCGCCTTAAAACTATTGTTGTTCTACCAATTTTTTCCTGGAATAATTTTATTGCAAAACCCAAGAGGGATTCTGCCTTCCAGAGGGCTCAGAAACCACAGCCTGTTGTGTTTTGGCAAATTACTAAGGCCGAAGACTAAATTCATCATGTATTCTTCTACGTATTCTTCTGCGTATTAACTGCCGTTAGGTCAGTTAATACGCAGAAACAAAGTGTCCTATCACAACTATGCAGACGACACTCAGATCTATGTCTCACTGACTGCAGGAGAACATGGACCAGTGGACTCACTCCTTCACTGTATCCAACAGATCAGTGAGTGGATGCAAAACAACTTCCTTCAGCTAAACGCAGACAAAACTGAAATGATTGTCTTTGGTCCCCAGAAACAAAGAGAGAGCGTCATCTGTCACCTACAGTCTCTCTCCCTAAAACCTTCAAACAAGGTCAGAAATCTAGGGGTAATACTGGACTCATGACTTAAATTTTAATAGCCACATCAAATCAGTAACATCAGCAGCTTTTTACCATCTAAAAAACATTGCCAGGATCAAAAACATAGTGTCTAAAGCAGACTTGGAGATTCTTATCCATGCATTTGTCTCCAGTAGGTTAGACTACTGCAATGGCCTGCTCACAGGTCTGTCCAAACAGGCTGTAAAACAGCTGCAGTACATTCAAAATGCAGCAGCTCGAGTCCTGACTAGAACCAGGAAGTACGACCACATTAGTCCGGTCCTCAGGTCCCTGCACTGGCTTCCTGTGGCTCAGAGAATAGACTTTAAAACAGCTCTGCTTGTGTACAAATCTCTCCATAGGCCTCGCACCAAACTATATTAGTGACATGTTAGTCCCATATGAACCAGCCCGGACTCTGAGGAGCACAGGGACTGGACTCCTGTTAGTGCCCAGAGTCAGAACTAAACATGGGGAGGCTGCTTTTCAGATTCATGCTGCTAAAATCTGGAACAGTCTTCCTGAAGATGTGAGACAGGCCTCCTTTCTGACAATGTTTAAGACAAGGTTGAAAACAGTTCTGTTTAGCTGTGCATACAACTGAGGGATTTTATATTTTTATCTTTTTTTAATGTACTGTGATTATTTATGATTTTAATGCTTTCTTGTTCTGTTCAGCACTTTGAATTGCCTTGTGTATGAATTGTGCTATATAAATAAACTTGCCTTGCCTTGCCTTACGTGTCAGCACCGGTGCCGATATTTTTGAGATGTTTATAACCAAATTAAAACACACTCGGGGAGAATTCTTTATTTGTTGTATTCTTTTTTTTTTTGTATCATTGCAAGGGAAAACAGTTAAAACAAATATTAAACTATTAGTGGATCATGATTTTTGAGAACTACATTTGTAACAAAACAAGACTGTAAAATGACAAGTTGTGTATTTGAATGTACCTTTGCAGAACTTACACCTCATCAACTTCCTTTCATATATGTAAGGGATAACGTATATTACGCAGGTCATTATCGGAAAATAAGTACCGACAGGGCGAAGCGGACCCCGACGCGCTCCCTGGAACTGCATGAAAACTGAAAAAAGAATTCTGAACATCAGCGGTGAGTGACCCAAACATAAACCTAACCTAAATCCATAATTCGATCCTCTGCAAATGTGTCCGAAAATGTGCCGGTATCTTAAAATGTGCCGGTATCTACTTCCGGGTTTTTCGAGATCGCCTTTTCTCGCATTACATCAGTGTTTTTGTCATGAAAACGTGAACGGAAAATTCTGAAAACTTCCGTGCACTTGTATTAAGACTGGATATGTATTAATTACTCTCCGATTAACATATCATTACATTGATTGATTGGCATTTGCGTTTATTGAGCGGCCGGAACTACTTCCGGGTTTTTCACGATCGCTTTTTGACGCAGAGAAATAGGTTAGTATTTTTGTCATGAAGACAAGACCAGAAAATTCTGAAAATTTCCGTGCACCTGTGTGAAGAATGTATATGTATAAGTATTCTCCGATTAACATTTAAGTGTGTTGATTGAGCGTGGCTAGCTCCGGAGTGGCCGGAACTACTTGCGGAGTTATCCACGCATTTGAAAGACAAGCAGAGAGAGCGTTGCCATGGGCAGAGGTCCGTTATAGAAAATAATGACCGGTAGAACGTTTTGAAATTACATTCAAATCAATAGAGCATTCTACTGCTGCTGTGAGGAGCCGTATAATAAATTATTTTAAAGTATATAAGAATATATATGAATATATATATATATATATATATATATATATATATATATATATATATATATAATGGGCTTGTTCACACTAAAGGGCACAAAAGTGTGACAAAAGGCTAAAAATTAGATTTTAATAATCAGAAGATATTTTATGTTTTTCATGTTTCCAAGCACCTCCTCTGTTCATTAGAAGTTGCTAGAACATAACTGTTTTATACATTAGACAAGTTTCCTATAGCGGCCCTGTTTATTTTACCTAACGGACGTGATGATTTGACGGAATGAGCTTTGTGGAAGTTTGATAGGTATTTTCAGTTGTCCACATTTGATTCAGAGATTCTATTTTTTTACACAAAGTAGATGCAAAGTGATACTTTCATATTGTCAGCTAATTAAAGCAGCAGTAAGCGATTTGGTCGTTTCCGGCAATTTCTTCTGCCTGAGCGAGTTAGTAGCCCCGCCCCGTCTCCTCGTCACACCACATGAACGCGCATCGTCTTGGTGATGGCAGCAGCATGTTCATCTCCGTCAGGTCTACTCGTAAGTATATTAACAACAAACTCTGGGAGTGAAATATTAGCATAGAATAGCTCAGTTGTAACCTAGCTATAACACTGGAAGCAGCTTGGTGTTAGCTAGGATAGCATCACTAAGAAAGAGATAAAAACAATCCAGTCTTTTATAGAATAATACTGCTTTTATAGTTGGCACACTGATAACTGTTGTGATAAACATAATGTTGCAGATTGCAGTGTGACGTGTCTCAACATTATGCACTGTAACATCTGTTACAGTGCATATGTATTAGATGAATGTAATGCATATACATTACAACAACAAAGCTTTACATGAAGGTTATTTAAAGTAATACATTACTGCTTTCCTCACAATTTGTATATTTGGAGTTCTTTATAGACAACACTGTAGTAATGTATTATGTGAAAGTAAAGCTGCATCTCACTGGAAGCTGCCTTCTCAATGTCACAAAATAAAGATACATTTATTGATGTAATCAACATCTGTATTATGTGCTTATTGTTCAGAGAATGAAGACAAAATCAAAGTGTATCAGAGCTGTACAGTGAGATGTGGGACTGAAAAACAATTCCAGTAAAGCTTGTCCTAAACGCAAAAGTACTGTCATAACTAATTACGTTACACTATTGCACTGTAAGGAAACTCACCACTTTGAAAGAAAAGCTACAAGTAACAGAATATATAAAGTCATTTGTCATAACGGTTCTTTCAGGAAGCACTGAACGCCCTCTGTCCAGAGAAGCTGATGACCAGATCCTTTCCCTGATGCGTCTGTGAAAGGTGCCAACAGACATTGAAAACGTGCTTTCC